TGTGCCGTGGCGGTTCTAAGCACATACGCAGTTCGCACGGCAGCTGTAAGTTTGAGTACTCTATTTCAAATAGAATACTTTCGTGCAAATGGTTCAGATCCGAGATGTCATTTCTAACTTGACTGCATGTGTACTTGACAATGCCAGGAACACGTGCGCATGTTAAGTACACATTTGAGAGTCACCTACATAGCCAGCCTGTACTGCACTCAAATCAAACATCACGATTGGCTGACGGTCACAGAATAGGCCATTCTGTACTAAGCTGGCCCTACTGATAGCGCTTCTTTAAGATAAATGTTTGCAGATTTAACTTCAATGTTTCATCTGCTGCGAATGACTTGCACGTTCATCTTGCGATATGCGTCTATTTTCTTCAAAACATATGCATGATAAACTTTCGGTGTTGTGATCTCGCAGGTTTTCACACAAACGGAAGATACTTGATGTACGTAAATGGGTTCAATTGTCAATAAATGTATTCTGATGTTTTTGAATCGTCCTACCTTCTAAGACCCTCATGGAGGCATTGTATCATTCAATCTGTGCACAGTTTTTATTTTCTTACCGGGTTGTTTCAAATTACCAGGAAACTTGCACAGGGAACGGAAAGCACTAACGGAAAGGCAGGCGAAATGAGTTCCAGAAGAAAGATGCCATTCATTACTATCCTGATACTGATTGCACTATTCATGTTTTCGTATTACTTTCCGGAAAAGTCGATACAGTCCCCAAATTCACGCAACAAAGCAAAGATTTCTAATTGGAAACAACCACGTTTGGAATTGCAGAATTATGTGGTGGATAGTGGTCACACAGGAATCAAACGCCAAAACCTACCAAACCTGGAAAATATAAGTTGGCCAGAAAGGGAATTTCTAATTGCACCAATGGGTTCTCCAGAAATTCGACAATTGCCCCTGGAAGCAAAATTCAGTCGCGGTCAAATGCGCACGTTGTGGAAAATTTTCAGCACTTTCAGTAATGCTATGGAGGAGCTTGGCTTCAGTGACAAGTGGATGCTGTACGGTGGCACTCTACTCGGCTCATTTCGACACCATGACATTACCCCCTGGGATGATGACCTTGACCTACTTGTTGACGTTGAGGCTAGACCAGGACTAAGGGAAAGGATGCGCAAGCTGAAACCCGACATCCTCATTCAGGAGGGCGAGCAGAGGGACAAGGTATACGCAAAGCTAATCGACCCAAGCAATTCATCTGAGGACTTGTACGGCAGCCGCAAGTTGAGTGCCTACAACTGGGGCTGGCCATACCTCGATGTTAGTTACTACTCCTCTAACGTGACGCACATAGAAGAACTCGTATGGTCCTATGGTCGATATTATAGCTATGTAAAATCAGACATTTTCCCACTTCTCTTCAGGCCATTCTACAAGTACTGGGTTCCGACGCCAAGGAACGCATTTGCTGTCCTGCTGCAGACCTACCCAGGAAATGACCTTTGCTCGGCTTCCAGTCATTCGCACATCTTCTTTGAGAAAGGAACTAGCAGTCGGACAGTGTCATGCAAAGAGCTAGCGAGCAGGTATGCCTTTGTTGAGCACGACCCAATCTCCGACGATGTCCAGGGCAAGGACGGTGGTCAAGATGATTTGATTTGGGTCCGCGAGCAGCTAGTTGAAGGAGGCAAGATCATCCACGAAATTCAGTTGGTTGCACCGCGGCAGGAATCCAATTTGGACACCTACAGACTGCAGACGAAGTCTAACGCGTGATTATCTTACATTTTTGAGACGGATATTCTTACGTTTTAAAAAAACCGCTGAGGGGTCTGTGATTTGGTGCCAATTTGCTGTAGATTACTTTGACAAACTTCATTGGTTGATATTTATGTGTAGATATTTTTACTTAAAATGATAAAACCGGCTATGGCATGGGGCTCACTGTTTCTTCCCACGATCTCAGGTATTTGTGGCTGTCAAGTAAGGGCTATTTATTTCAAAACTGTTTACCACTTTCCATATTATTTAAAACACGGCAGCTTGTATGACATTCGTTTCGCTCACCCAATTTGTTATGTGCATTTGTCCTTCATCCTTAGCTAATACTCTCAGAATAATCGCATTGATTCATGACAGAAGTTACCTACCCGAAGCACGTAGGCGTTCGTACTTCTATAAGCCCTTCTGGCTAAAATAATTTCCCCTACGCGCAGGTTTAGGCAGGAAAATTTACACTCATTTAAATCACATCCATAATTTGCGAATATCTTTTTGCTACATTAAAACACTGTTTTGACCTCTAATTCCTCTGCAAACGATCATTTCGTGTTAATATAGTAAACTTATTGTCCAATTAGAACGGTTAAGCTTAATAGGTAAATAGGATGGGAAACCTAAGGCCAAAGTGTAGGTGCATAGTGAGGGGTAGAGGAGGGGGCAGGTAATCATCACAGCAAGGCAGTTCAGGTTACAGTGAAAGCCTGTGAAGAGTAATTAAAGGGGGGAGGGGGGAAAGCACAGAGCAGCAGTCGGTCATAACGGGGGGAGGGAGAAGGCGTGAGAGGTACTCAGGTGATCAATCGTTACCACGGCAATGCGGGGTTGATCACATGATCCAGCTGCTTACAGAGTTCAGGTTTTAGTTCGGCAAAAATGCCCATTTCGTTTACGATTGAAAAGTCGTGTTGGCAAACAGCTGTTTTCGGTC